ATGGAAAGTGACCAGAAGTGAGCCTTGGCCCTGGCTGGTGCGGCCCCTGTGGTTAGAGCATCCGGCCCCATACACTGAAAGTTCTCAGGCACAATTCTGGTCAAAGGCATGTGTCTCTCTCTCACATCGATGTTTCTCTCTCTCTCTTTCTCTCCTCCCCCACTCCTTTCCACTCTAAAAATCAAAGGAGAAAATATCCTCAAGTGAGGAGAAGGAGGAGGAGAACAAGAGGAGGAAGAGGAAGAGGAAGAAGAGGAAGGGGAAGAGGAGGAAGAGGGAAAGAAGAAGAGAGTCTGGCAGCCAGAAGCGTTACCCTCAGGGCTGTTCTAATTGAACGAGACAAGTAAAGGCATCAAACCAAGGAAGAGCCGCCATCCAGTCTGCAGAGCAGCGGGGCATCTCCTGATGCTGAGCAGAGACTCGCAGTGCGGGCTCCCCCGGGTTCCGGGAAGAGAGCCCCGGTGAGCACGCAGCCAGCAGCTGGGCCTGGAGAGCAGGGCCTAGGAACCAGTGCCAGCGGGAGAGGCACTGAGCTCCCAACACTGCATCCCAGCGGGAGTCAGCTCGGTCCGCGGTTTGCTTGTGATAATCTCCCTTCGTCTATGTCTCTGCAGAAGGATGGGATACATGCTCTGCGACAGAACGCGAAATAAGTCGGAGCCGATAAGATTTGACACAGACAAAACCAAAAAAAAGTTATTAAAAATTGTTTCTTAAAACAACAAAAAGCAGACACAGAAATAAGGGAAATCAACTTAGAAACAAAGCCAGATGTTGCCCAGCATTGAAATGATCATTTAAAAAAAGGAAGAAAAAGATAATATTGTGCTGAATGAAATAATCCAGTCAGAGAAAGACAAATACCATATGATCTCACTTATATGTGGAATCTAATGAACAAAATAAACTGATAAGAAAAATAGATCCAGAGACACAGACGCATGAAACAGACTTCGGAATCGCAGAGGGAAGGTGAGGGAGGGTGGGTGGGAGGAGATCAACCAAAGAACTTGTATGTATATTTGCGTATCCCAGGGACACAGGCAATACTTTCAACAATAAAGATTTAAAAATACACATTAAAAGACAATAAAGAAAACAGTCGGTAATAAATAGAATCTTACCAGAGCACTGGAAACTATGAGTAAGAACCGCATGGAAATCCGGAAGTCAGAAGAGCAGTATGTGAGGCCTAGCATTGAAGAGCTGCACTCACTAATAGACGGATAGAGAGGAAGGCAGATTAGATGAACACGTGGATCAGCTGAGATACCAAAATCAGGAAAAAAGAAAACTCAGCAAGAAAGACTAATAAACACATAGGAGTTGAATGAAAGCCCTAAAATATATGTCAGTAGAGACTCAGAAAGGGAAGAAGCAATCTGTGAAGAGACAAGGAATAAGAATCTTCTAAATCTAATTTTTAAAAATCAAGGTACAACTTAATGAAAATTGAGGAAGATTAACACATAGAAAACCACAAGTAGTCATGCCTTACATAAAGCTTCTGCTAATCAAAAGACAAATAGGCCCGGCCAGCATGGCTCAGCGATTGAGCGTCAGCCCATGAACCAGGTCACAATTCGATTCCTGGTCAGGCCACATGCCAGGGTTTTGGGCTTGATCCCCAGTAGGGGGCGTTCAGGAGGAAGCTGATCCATGATTCTTTCTCACCAGTGATGTTTCACTCTCACTTTCTCCCTCTCCCTTCCTCTCTGAAATCAATAAAAATGTATTTTTAAAAAGACAAATAGAAAATCATAAAATAGCCACAGAAAAGAGATATATTATTTTGAAAGATGGAACGATAAAACTGACAGCTTCGTTCTCAAGAAATGCTGCCTTGGCCAACAAGGGGAAAGGCAGCATCCTCCAGACCCTACAGGTATCAAAAACATGAGAGTGTCTGCTGCCCAATTATCGGGAAAATGAAAATTACTTGAATGAACAAATTCTCATAAAACCATCACTTAAAAATAATCACAAGAATAAATGGAAAACGTTAACGTTTTTATGAGGTTGAATCTATAAGTAAAAGCCTTCCCACAAAGAAAACGTCAGTTCAAGGTCGTTAAAGGCGATGCCTCCCTGACATTTAATCAAACACAGAAGAGCGCCAAGGTCAGGAACACCTTCCCAGAGAACAGGAAGTGGGCGAGCGCTTAGCAATTAGTTTTATGCAGAGAATATATTTTCTTACAAATGCAGACAAGAAAATTCCGGAAAAGGAAAAGGACTGGCTAGTCTTGTTAATGATCATTTAGCATGAACTGCTGACTCCTTTACAAATGGGCACAGGAGTAGAGAACTAGAAGAAATCTCCCACAGGGCGAGAAAGGTCTTATTTCAGATTCTACAAGATCCTATTTTTAACCAATTGAATACAATAGGAGAGTCTATGGGGTTAAGAAAAATGAAGTTACATCTTTGAGAAAGTGACTCAAAATAGTAGTTTTATAATATCACTCTGTTAACCAAAGGATTAATTAAATATTTACATATAAATTTCAGAAATTCAACATCTGTATTTAAGAGTATTTAACATTAGTGCCTTCAATGCTAAACGTGTTTTCCCCTTGTTTATAAAACTTGTATCGCCAAAACCGGTTTGGCTCAGTGGATAGAGCATTGGCCTGCGGACTGAAGGGTCCCAGGTTCGATTCCGGTCAAGGGCATGTACCTGGGTTGCGGGCACATCCCCAGTGGGAGATGTGCAGGAGGCAGCTGATCGATGTTTCTCTCTCATCGATGTTTCTTACTCTCTATCTCTCTCCCTTCCTCTCTGCAAAAAATCAATAAAATATATTAAAAAAAAAACTTGTATCACATAAATATCTGTAGGTAAGCTGATCTATTTACAAAATAACTGTGCTTTTTACCGTAGCATATACAAGGTCTTAGACTACTCTCCTCTGCACTCCTATGAAGTTTTTATCAGTGTACTTCAAGCCACCATTTATTGGTAAATTAATAGATCGTAATAAAAATGGAAATCTATTAGTTAGAAAGCACTCGGAGCTCATACCTTCATTACCTACAGCCTCACATCGCTGCTGAGGAGAATGTGATGACGCTAAACCCGATGATGACAAGCTCTCAGAGCTGGAGAGGGTGGGGTTCATTCCTTGCTGCACCGCCTCTTACCTGAAGCCCATATACTAGTAATCACCGCTCGGCATGGAAACCCAAGTCCTTATCTTTAGGAAAATGGCTTCTATCATCAGACTATGAATCAACAAGGATCACGTATTTATAGTATCGCCTGGCAGAGTAAGTCGGGGTTTGACTGATGTCTAGACATCAGAATGCTACAAAAAGGGGGCCGTGCACACCCTTTCTGAAGCCAGCCTGCACTCCTGCACACGCCACTGCTTCCGGCAACGCGTCCGTTCCACAGCCTGACATCCACTCCTGGAGGGACCACACCTGCTCCGAATGTGATGTGTTGTCTCGATAGTCACAGGCGGTTCACGCACTGTTTTCACTGTCACTGCCCAAGACCAAGTCACACTTCCACAGGGACCTTCTCTGCTACATCAGGGTATAGAAGCGCTTTCTTTGAAACAAGAAGGATTGCAGTAACGATGTCTGGATTTCATTTTGGCTGTGACAGATGTTGTAGAGACAAGAGGGAAATTCTAAATTACTTTTTTTGTTGTTGTTTTCGTTACCATTTTGTCTATCACAGTATCTGAAATGCCTGCAGTGCAGACAAGTAAGGAGACAACAAGCACACAGTCGTTGTGAATATCCCTAACGCCGGCGTGGCTCCCTGCTGGCCTGGTTGGCCTTTCTAATGGGCAAAGTAAAACAGTAAAATGGGCAGACGTCCATTGACATTTTGGAATCAACTATTTATCAATCGATATGAACTGATTTTAACGCAAGGGGAACATTACACTGTCTGGTTT